AGTAAATTTACTTCTAATTCTTTGCCATTCTATTAAATAGTCTTCATGTGTCTCTCTGGAGCTCTGTAGAGCTCAAACATTTCATGTATTGGTAGCTTTCTTGCTGATACAGGCAGCTTTGCACATGTTTAAAAATTCATTGAGGGAGAACACATATTCTTTTGATCGTAAGTCCAGATGTTATCCAAAAAACTTTTCACAGAGATTGTATCATTGTTTTAAGCTTTCCATCTTGCATTTGTATGCAAGTCCTTGATTGAATATTTGCAAGAGGCAGTTGCAGTTGCCCTCTGCCTTGCCCTTTTCTTTAGCTCTCTGACCCCACTAGCAGAGATCCCTTTCAAAGTAAGAGGAAAGCTAGACTGCAGGTCTGCCTTCTACCAGCTCTCTTCCAGAAATTAGATCCCTTTGCTCTGCAGGAAAATTCTTAATGTGTCTGCAATTGGAAGAAGCAACCAAAAATGTTGGCTTCATGTTCTTTACTAAAAGCTTTAATATAAACTGGCTGACAGTATACTCAAGTAAATGGTACCATGAGGATATTGTCCTAAATGTAATCTGTGAGTTGCTTGTATCTTTTTTTTTTTTAACATAATTCCTCAAAATAGCTTCATTGTTCCATGGAAAATGGCAGCATTTGTTTTTGCCTGCCTCACAGTTAGGAGAAAGAATAGAATATGGAAGTAAGATCATAGCAGGAATCTTAGGAATCTTACGTTATTTTGCCCAGAAACTTTTTTTTTTTGCATAAGGTGATTAAATTCAGAGCCAAGTGTTCCCTAGCTGAATTCTTACAAGTGGGATCTATACCACCTGATTGTAAGCTTGAAGAATCTAGAGAAAATTTGCATTAAATAATCTAGATTCACAGGGAAAATGTTTTAACTCATAAAATTTTGAAGCAAGGGGCTGTTATGGTGATCTGCTAAATCTGACTGTGTAAATTCAGTGATTTAATTTGAGTTGAATTGAAGAGCTGACTCTTTATGTACACAATTTCCTATAAAAGTTGTTGAAAATACAAAAAAGGAATGTTAACATGAGAAGTATATTTTTTAATAACTTACTGTATTCCAAAGTTCATTAGTTATTCTAAAAGTTTGTCTTGTTTGCCAGCATAAAATACTTTTACTGACCTGTCTGTAATTTGCTACCGTTTATCTAGCTTTAGTCATGTTATTGACTGTCTGTTTGTGTTGAATAAGACTAATACAGGTATTGACGTGAACTGATACTCCAACGTTAGGAATTTGCCAGTACTTACCTTGACATGACAGTGGCTTTTAAGTTGTTCTTCAACAACTACTGATAAATAAAAATATATATACCTGACTGGATAAAGCCCTGAGCAACCTGGTTGAATTTCATAGCTGACCCTGCTTTGAGCAGGTCAGACTGGAGACCTCCTGAGATCCCTCCCAGCCTGGCTTATTCTGTGTTACTTGTGTGTGTATATACATGTGTGAGTGTATAAATGTGTGTGTGATATTTATTTGCAATTTATAAAGATACATTGGGTGATTTCACATATAGCTATAATAAATTTTTGTTCTGCTGGTTTTCTTTGCCCAGTCTGCCACTAAGAAACCTCGGAAGTCTCCAGCAGACAAGGGTCGTTCTGAATCTGGAGCTAGAGCAGCAAGTCGTGGAAGAGCTAATGGCCACCCTCAGCAGAATGGAGAAGGGGACCCTGTCACTTTGTTTGAGGTGGTTAAGCTGGGAAAGAGTGCTATGCAGGTAAAATAACTAATTGTGTTACCCCTTCACAATTCAGTATATCCTGACTGTAGGAGTTCAGCCTAAGCTATGCTTTTGTGAATGATTGTATTTTTTTCATAGCCTGTATTGGTCCAATAGGCTGTCTGTGTATGACAAAGGAAGGAATAGAATGTGCTTTGGTTGAGGACTGTCATACATACTTCTGAAAGACAAAAGACACATCAGAAAGTCATGTATTTCAAATTCTCCATTATTTTGTTCATTACTTCCAAATTGAAAATACATGTTGGTATTAAGCAGTCCATTAAAGAATACCCTGTAGTAAGTTTTATATGAGGAAAAAGTATGTGATATTAATGATGCATCCAGCGCTTTATTGTTTGCTTGTTTTTTCAAAAATACCTGCTGACACAAGCAGTTTTGAGTGCTTTGCACTGCAGCTTGCATTCTTCTTGCTGTCCCTACCAGAGCAGCAGATGAAGGCTAAACTAGTTCCCTAGACTTCCTCTGTGTCTGAGGGACAAAGATGGACACATCCTGAAGGTGGATTTTTCCTTGTAACATAAAAATCTAAGGTAGTTGTAATGAATTGCCTCTGGAAGTCTTTCTTACTCCTTTATGTTTTGATCAATTTCAGAGGTCTTAAAGGATCTCTTGGATCAGATGGGTCCCCCCTCAAGAACCTCTATAGATGATTGGTTTTGACAGTACTTGTATGCTTTTAGTAAGCTGCCCTCCTTCAGCAGTTGTTTTTGGCACTCAAAGAAGAAACAATGAGTCCAAAACACTGTTCATCCGGTGCAGTGCAAAGCCAACAGTCGTTCCTACTGAAGGATTGTTTCTGTAAACCTCCTTTACTTTGCATGTCAACAAAACAGGACTCATGCAGTATCAGTTAGTTTGTTTTGACTTTGTGGTGCTAACAAACATGAGAGAATTACCAGTTAGGAAAACTAGGGGCCGAGTCCCATTTTCAATATTACTTTTAGTGTAGCTAAAAGCTAAGTCTAATTAACTCTCAAAGGAATCAAGTCTTCCAAATGAGTGAAAGCTGTTGAAAATTTTCTCTCAGTCTCAAATCTGTGGAAGGTCTGAGATGTAATTTTAAAGTAATAAACAGGAAGAAAATGAGAATTTTTGTTTTTCATAGTTGCTGTGTTTACAGTTATTCAAGATTGACCCTTCTTGTCTAGTAGGTGAAGACAGAACAAATTTACTCCTAACAAAGCTACAGATTCCTTGTGCCTCTTCTTCCTACATGTTTTAAGTCAGGACTTCCAACTTTGCTTGGTTTTCAACAGTTTTTCAGATTTCGTTTCTGGCAGGATTTGAGGAAACATCTGGAGTCTATTTTCTGGTTTTACTGTGGTACAGAACATACAATATGCTTTATGTAATATGTTTGTCTTCGAGTTACTGATATTTGAAGGAGTCAAATGAAAAGGAATGGGTGATTGCTTTGATATTTGATGACTCTGTGTGTGTGGAATTGACTTTGGCGCATTTCATCTATTTCAGAAGAGGTGCCGTCAGAAGTCTTCTGCAGATGAAATTCTAAAAAGAAATTGTCTGCATGTTTGTATTAAGAAACTTTGGAATTCAAATACAAAAGAAGTGCTTTGAGAAATTTAGTATTTGTATATGCATATTTAAAAGTGTGTGTGTCTGTATATTTGTGTTTGTATAGATGTGTATGCACATGCTTAAAATGTGCTCATCCTACCCATATGAGAAGGAAGTAGACAGCACATTTTAAGCAGTGGAGAAATGATAAGCAAATAGTGAAGGAACAGGCAAGTTTATTTGAAGGCCTGGGGTGCCAACAGGCTTATATTAATTAAGCCATTATATCAAGAGTATGTGCCACTTGTGCACCTTTGAAAATTTCACTATTGCTAAAAATATTCAAAAAAAAAAAAAAAAAAAGAGAAAGAAACCCTACAGTGGGGAAAGAGAATGCAATTAAAATGTGATTTAATATTTTTTAATTTGCACTTCTGGACAATAATCTCATGTGAAACCAAGGTTCTATAAACCAAAATTATTAGCACCTTTATACTTTTTTCTTAAGAGCTTAGGCATTTTGATGTTATGACTAGGAGTGCTTGGTGGTTTTGGTTTTCATAGTTTCAATGCAGGTTTTTTGTGGCTAATTTTAGAAGTTTTGTCAGTATTGCCGATTTTTAGACAAGTGCCACATATTTGTATTTGTCAGAACCTATTATTTCTCAATACTTAGTTCTTCCCCTGTAATATGAACCTACATTTTTCTATAGCACTCTTATGTTTGCTTCCAGCAATGAAAATGCAGAAAAATTCAACTAATATATTCTGAGATTAGATGGGAATCATGTGCTTTCACTTCTGATCTATCTGCTCCTGCTGTTTGCTCTCAGGATTTATTTTAGTTGTTAGATTTTTCTGGCTTTGTGTTGCCAATGCATGGAAGTCTGTAGCTGAATTCAATTCTCACTTCTTTTAAGTTTGTCCTCTATTTTGGTTCTCATAGCTGGATTCATTTACTACTTCTCTTCAGGTTTATTGCTGTTTGGTTCTTCCAGGGGAACAAAGTTAGGTTAATACTTTGTATTTCGAGTATACATAACTTCAGAGCTGCTCTTTGCATGTAAATCTTTGCCTCTATTATGAAGTGCTATTTTTGTCGGTGTTAAGTCTCACTTGAACTCTATAAATCAATTTGATACCTACATTAAGTTGGTATCGGATTGTTGTCACTGTTTTTTAATTTGCTCTGTAACCTTTTGTACAGTTAGTTGCTTCAGAAGTTTTTCTGTTGGCAACTCTCTGCATATGAAGTGTGAGATGACCTGCTGTTCATGTTTTCTGCGGGTACGTTTTGTTAGTCCATTAGGACTGTTCATAGAGCTTTTTCAGGCTCCATGTGTGTGTGTTGTGTTGTTTGTGGTTTTTACTTTCTTAGGCAAAGATGATACTCTTCTCCTTCTTGTTGTTTGTCTCTCATCTATTTTTTCCTTGAATGATTTTATGGAGACAGCTATATCCACTATATTTTCCCATACTAAACTTGTGTAGGCAGAATGGACTCTATCACCATTTTCATGCGCTCAGCTGCCTAAGTTCACCCTGACGGGAATGAAGAGCGTAGGTGAACCTCCACTCCTCCAGCTGAGCCCCCAGTACAGAGGCTGACTTGTCGCTTAAATCTTCATAGACATTTCTGTGTTGGTCTCTGACCCTGGCATTAAGCCGACAGTGAAATAAAGAGAGTGTGATCATCTCAAATTTTGTTTACGCCTCAGTCTGAAAATTTCTCATAAGTGAATTATGACCAATTAGTTGTAATGAAGTTTGTACTTCTGTGTTGGTCACACCAAGCATAGAAGTATTCTGCTCTCTTGTGTGCCAAGGGGATTTGTGCCTCTCCCAGAACATCAGAGAGAATCATCAGTAATCGTAAGAGACGTTCAATGCTGAAACATGAACAGATCTATCCCTTGATTACTCTGTAATACTATGTGCATTACTGGTTGCCCTTAATTGATGTTAGCAGTTCACTATAAATTAGATGCTGATTTTGAAAAAAATACCGGACCCTTCTGCCTACGCTCAGCCAATAAAAGTAATCTTGGTGTCGGTTAGACATGGTTCAGAGTAAATATGGCTCCGTTGTGTGCCAATAAGCATTTTAGGATACGTATCCAAAGAAAGCTTTCTAGTATGTTGAAGTGGAATTTTTCGTTGTGTCTCCAGTTCTTCTTTGTCTTCTGTAGAAATGAAGAATGTATGTGGTTCCTTACGGTTCTTGTCTGCACACCTTGGCATGCATGGATTTGAGTCCTTCAAGGTTCCCTCCCGGTTCAAGTAAAGCTCTATTTATAGCACTGCTTACGCTGTCAGGGGAAGAAGTTTTCTTTAAGGAACTCAAACATTAAGAAGCAGATTTTTATCATCTTTGCTCTTACTGGGGTCATGTTGGCAAACGGTGACTCTTGTTCTCAGTACTGCACTGGCTAGAAAGTTTGGGTACCAGAGCAGGAACATCATGAGACCTTTTTTTCCCCTTCAGTTGCCTTTCTGAAAGGATGAAAAATCTTTCATTAATATTAATTTAAAATATTTCTGACATGTTAACAGTATTTTCAATATTCTTTTCAATATTATACTGATTTTCAGTGTTTATCCACCTGTCTGTTGCAGACTGAGGTTCAAAATCAATACATGCAAAAATAAAGGGTATGCATCCTTGTAATTGCGTGTTTGATCTGTTGGAAATAATATGAGAGAGGTAAAGGAAACAGTCTTTCAACACTTTCAGAGTCTTTAAGCAGTGCTCTTCTCTTGTTCTTTATGCACTAGCATCTTACTGGCATGGTTGCCAGTTCCTTTTATCATAATGTATCAGGTTTGGATGACGTTTAGTCGTCAGCATCTGTATCTGAAATTATTTTGTGATTGAAATTCCTGGTACCTCCAGTATCTTTTTCAATCATTTTGAATGTTGATGATCTGTACAAGAAATGCAAGATAGTCAGTTCTTCCAAAGAGCTGATACGTCTTTCTGCATCTTGTTAATAGGACATATCCTATCTAATGTCAGTAATTTTTGTATTTTCATAGCATTTAGAGCAGAAATAGACCATTATGGCCCGTATACCACCTCCCAGCATAGCTCAGACCATGGAATTACACCCATTCCGGTATTAAGCCAAAGCTTCTTTTACAACCCTCATTTTTCTATAGTAATATTAGTTTCAGTTAATTAGAAGATGAGGCCCAACCTTAGCAACTGTAGAGGCAGAGCCAAACTTTTGGACATCGTCATTCCCCCTCAGGTCTCGCTGCAGTAGCTGCTGCCCTATCCTGGTAGTTCCAGGGACCTTGACCGTGGCAGCAAGGGAGCTGGGCTGGTGAATGTGGAGCAGGAGGTGGGACCAGCCATGGAGAAGGCGTCGAGTCACTTCCCCCCCAGAGAGCGAGGCTGCTCCTCAGGCTGGCTTCTCCCAGGGAGGGAAGTTGACAGTAGAGCAAGGCCCAGT